GTTAGAGCCTTATACAGGTGATGAGTTCTACCGCATTAAGTTATCATCAGGTCAGATTTTCAGCCGCCTTCCATGATATCAGCTGGTGCTCATTGTACGAACTTTGGCTCCATCCCTTGTAAGGCCTGAATCGTATTCTGCGCGCATTAGGAGTAATTTCGAAATGGGTGAGCTTGTCTTTCGAAGAGTTATGTATTGTTCTAGTAGAGAAACTCTAATTTCAAATTGTATCTCGAGACCAAGTTAGTTCCTGCTTGCCTTGAACAAGGATTAACGAATGAGTTTTCTTAAACAACTCTAATCAGTCAAAGAACATAAGCTAGCTTCGTCAAGATGATAAACTGCTGGAGCAACAACAAAATCGGAAAACATCTGGCCGTCTCATCGCTTTACTGGAAATAATGATTGAAGAAGCTAAACATTAATTCAATCACGATTCACTTAGAATATTGTACTGCAATCTCATTTTTCGATATCATAAGGTTTTTTATTCGTTGACTGACTTTTCAAAAAATCGATAACAGTTTTGGTTTACTCACGAAACTGTTTTTTACTGTTTCACAACCATTCTGTGCGAGCTGATATTGTTAGCAGCAACCGTTCTTCACATTAGTTCTCATTCGAATGACACCTCATCCACGTGGTTGTCCCCCACTCGTGTACGATTAATGCGTTCACGCCTCCTAATTAGAATATTGAATGCACAGTTCAGCTGCTCCAAGTCCTCCTTACTTCTAACTCATTTGACACTGCCAAATTCTACAACCAAAAATAAAATTTGATACTACTAAGCCATTTGCTTGAGCTGAAATAGAATGCTAGCGAGGAAGTAAGAAAACCTGAAAAAAGGTTTCATATTCATGAGCGGAAAGGGCCATTTGTGTATTTCATTGTAATGTAAATGACAATTTGTGTATTTCCTATCCTTGGCAACCTTGAAAGTGCAGACACAGCTCGTTGTCTATGAATTATCTTAGCAGTTTAGTAATATGTAGAGCTCGTAACATTTTGCAAAAGACCACAGACTAATCACTTGGACTCCTTCTCTGGACATCACATTGAGAAACCTCAAATTGTATCCGTTTCTATTGCTTTTAGTTATCCCTCACATTCTTATGTCATCAAATATGAATATGGATGTAGCTAGTTGTCTCATTGATTACTTGTCTTTTCATCATTTCTAATGGCAGAGAGCAAGGCAAATGTGGATTAGATATGCTGGAAATCCTTTACGAATATGAAAACATCTCTTAATCCAAATTTTGGAATTTCATTGTCTTCAAGCAGTTGTACAAATAGCACGAAAGTATTTCCTGCAAGTGGGAAAGAGAGGGAGACGCAAAACGAAACGTAACGCCAACAACATACAGTTCAACGTCAATGAGCACTACTACTATTTCCTAAAACTATAGCATTTTCAAGTTTCGCGCCAAAAAACAATAAAATGTGGTCTCCAAGCGTAATCTGAAAAAAAACAGTGTTTGGCAGTGCGTGCATGAAATATTTCATAAACTCAAGAGAAAACTTACCATATATAGTCGGAGAGGATGGAGGCAAGACAAATATTCTATCACTTCCTCAGTGCCAAGTACATGTTTATCTTCTAAACTTCGCTTTTTACCCTAGCTCACTCGTATATCTTGCCAGAACATCAAGAAGTGATCTCTGACCTTCGTGGATGGATTTACCACCCATCCATCCGACCCTCATTCTCCCAGCGTTAGTCAAACTCATACATCTATTCCTGTTTTTCGTTTCCTTTTCTTCAGCTCTTTTCGTCTCAGGAAAAAAAACAAGGAAAACAACACACATGCACACGGCCTTTGTGCTTAGCTTGACATGTTTGATCGTTAAAACTTATCACAATTCAAAAAACATGCAATTTCAAAGCAAGTTGCATGAAAACAACACGTGGCCACAAAACTTGTTTGCATTTGATTTAAAACATTTTTTATGATGAATTTTATCACGTTGTGCCAACAAAATATGGCACAGACCATGTCCTGCGGGACAAATGATATCCGTCTCGGCGAAAGCGATACGGCTTGTACCAAGAAAATAAACACAAATCTTAGCTGGAAGCCATATGTGATAACAAGGCTTTTGAGAGAGCTTAATATCCTGACTCTAATAATACGGATATAAGTAGAATGATTATAACAATCCCCACACGGAAATGTGCAACAACGTTTTTGCTTTTTCGTATATTTTGGACGATAGAAGGCAGCCAGCAACGAGCAGAACCTATGGGTGCGTGTGTTGAAGCAAAACAAATTCTCTTTCCACCTTATATGTAAACTGTTTATCCACAAATAAAATATAGAATGATAATAAAGAAGCAAGTGTGCGGAAAGGACGTAGAGGAACAATTTATAATTAAACACAAAATCTTCAATACCGTGAAGTAGGTTATATGAGTAGCATTCCATTTTAGACATCTAATCATATCCAAAAAAACGGGACCGGAGAGAGACAGAAAGATTTATGGAGATAGAAGCGATAGAGACAGACTACATGATACTTCTTCGAGTATAAATGATATCTAAACAAGCGTAATCTAAGCAAAGGAAAGTCTCACTTAGTCCTCCCTCTCCACCACCGAAAGTCCTACAGCATACACGTCGAGAGAGACGCAACTGCTTTTTTTCAAACAAAGTTAAGGGAAAAGACAGCTCAAAGGCAAGTACCACACACGAAGTAGAGCTCAGGGACTGTATGCTTGTACGTCCCTATATGGAATTGTACGAAAGTGGGATGATGGTGGGGAGAAACGAGAACAAACGCATTTCAGAGAAACTTATTAGTTTAGAAAGTTAATTTATAATATTTCGGAAGATGTACAGAGGTGGAACTTAGTTGGGTATTGATATATAATAATAAAATATTAAACAACACAGATAAACAGTTATATCAGTTTACTTCGTGGTCATCATCGTCACGAATTCTGGAAAAAGAAAGAATGACTCATGAGTTTGTGAAATGACTCTCTTACCTTCGTAGTTGACTTGTCCATCTCCATCAATATCAGCTTCACGAATCATTTCATCGACTTCCTCATCGGTAAGTTTCTCTCCCAAGTTAGTCATGACGTGACGAAGTTCAGCAGCAGAGATGAATCCGTTGCCGTCCTTATCAAAAACCTGAATAGTCAATTGTAATATGTTATTCATGTAACAAGCGTGTTCAAACCCATAAAATGATGATTTCATACATTTCAAAGTTTGCAACAACTTCTCTTTTCAAAAAAAAAACTTACTCTGAAAGCCTCACGGATTTCTTCTTCACTATCAGTATCTTTCATCTTACGAGCCATCATAGTAAGGAATTCGGGGAAATCAATAGTTCCGTTTCCTTAAATATAACTTTAGATTGGTGTTGGGTTTTGAATCAATTACCATCAGCATCGACCTCGTTGATCATATCCTGAAGCTCAGCTTCAGTAGGGTTTTGTCCGAGGGATCGCATGACGGTTCCCAATTCTTTGGTGGTGATGGTACCATCTCCGTCCTTATCGAAGAGGGAGAATGCCTCCTTGAACTCTGAAAAAAAGGAATTTATAAGGAAGTACCGTGCGAAAGGAATTCAGAGGCACTGATTAAGAATGCAATAAATACTTGCCAGCAATTTGCTCCTCAGTTAATTGATCAGCCATTTTAATTTGTAGGGTGACCGAAATAAGAGATCAGAAGACACGTACAAGAAGCTTGTTGGAGAAAGAAGAGTAAGCGTTGAGACAGCAAAAACTACCTTAAATAGAAAAAATTAAAAATTAACGGTCAACAAGAAGAAACAATAGTAGTAGTTCACGAATGCAGAGTAAAACGACGAAAGCAACAAACAGAAACAATTTTAAATATGAATCAGGCTGGCAGTGTGTAAGGAACAGTCAGGTTTTTGTTTTCTATTTGTGCGTGTGGATGTTGTCAACCGAAAATATCATGGCCTGGCTTGCTTGTAAAATGAGAAGTACGAATTGAAATTACAGTCAGCTAACTGCGTACCATCGATTTGATTGCGTGAATCATTTCGAATGTTGCTGCCACTGCTGCTGACAACAAAACTTGACATATTAGCAACAATTTAGGGCAACCAACGTGCGAATAAGGAAGTAAAGAGAGAGAGCAGAACAGCCGAATAAAGGTGAAACGCATCGAAGGTTAAACGAAAGTCGATGGTATGTATAGCAGCAAGGAATGTTGACTGCATTAGTGAAAGAGCGGAAAGGGCTCTTTTTAACTTTCAAGCTCCTGCGGCGCGAAACGCTCCGCAAGTATACTGTAGTTTGCATTAGTTCAGATCTCAATCCAGACAGATAACACAATCCTGATCCCCGAATGTTACAGCGAAAGATGTACCTCTAATGCGGAGATAAATGTTTTTACACGAAGAAAATCCCTACTAAAATAGAAGAATAGGATACTCTGGAGGAATATGATGATATAATATTTTGGTTTCGCTAATTATAGTTAAATACTGGGGAATTAGATGAAAGATCAAGAGTGGGCTGAATGGGAGAAAGCAAATGCGACAACTTCTTGTAATTTCCATTGCGGACGATCAAAAGACTGTTAATGGGAAGAACATCGCATGAATTTACTTTTTTTTTGAAAATACTTTCCTAACAAGATTCGCCCCCGTTCGAATTGTCCGAAGTCGATTGAACTTCGATTCGAACAACATTATGACTGCCTCGGAATTAAATGAAAAAAAACTTTTCATTCAATTTACAAACAGGTAGTGTAGTGCCCCCCATTTATGAGCAAATATATTTTGAGTAAAATAGTCTGGAAGTCATACAGATGGGAGAACACTCAGATATTGACAAGGGCACGTATACATTTCTCATTTTCTTTTCTCTTGGCAACTTATATCGATCTGCAGTTATATCCCCATGCTGAGAGCTGCAATCGAAGTAACTGGCAGACAACAAAAAGAGAAAGAAAGAAATGCACAATCTCAACCTAAAACAACAACATTTTATTGAAAATAATTTGGTTTAGTAGTAAGTTGTTGTTAGAGTTTGCCAATGACAACTTCATTCGCACTATCTCCCTCTTCTCCTCCTCCCGCGTTTCGCTGCCGGCTCTGTCCAATAAATATTCCGATGAATTTGATCGCCGAAGTTCGGAAATGAAGATCAAACAGGCGATTATGCAAAATATTATAAATCCATTAATCGCACTCAACGTTTCATACATTTTTTTTGAAAATGTCGGGCTGGTCACCAATAACCGTTTGCAATTTCGATATGCATGGGATGATTATTTAATATCAGAGTTATAAAAGCTATCTTTGATATTAATTAATTTCTGAAGTACTTCAAGTGAACTTGACGATGGGTTCAATCAAAATGGAATAAATAAATGAAGACTGGATACAGCAGTTGGCCAGTTAATTGGCGGAAATAAAATAATTTAAAACAAGTAACTGCTAATTCGTCAAAACTATGAAATATGGATGAAAGACGAGTTCCTCCCTTTTCTTCACTGGAATATAGCGATGGCAAGCTGAGAGAAGCGATACATATGAGCACACACATACACACAATTCTTCCGTAGTTCTCAAAAATTTAAAAATTGTCATGTTATCGCCGTTCGAAAAGAAACAAGAAACAGCATGCATCGAAGTCGATAGCTCAGGCTGCTGGGCGGAACTAAACATACGAAATAACAAAAAAACAACAAAATGTACGCAAATGCTGATCTGAAGTTCAGTTCAATTATTCGTTGTTGACGAAATTGGCATCAATTTGAAATTGAATTTTCAAACTCTTCTGAAGGGCTGCGCGTTCCAACTATGTGCATACACATGACAATAGTAAGTAGGTTGTAATCCGATTAATACAATGCAGTTTTCTCATTGATTCCAAAAAAAGGAGAAAAGCACGAGTGCGAGAGAGAAACGGAGAACAATCACAGCCTAATAAACTGAACCGCTCTGCATGACGCGTCATCACAAAATAAAGTGGCGTTTCACGTGAGTCACGTGGATTGTTCACGCATGTGGCGGCTAACGTCGATCAGAAATCGACAATTGTTTCTTATGTAAACAGTTGTATGTTGGCGACAAATATTCCATACAAAGCTCAAATATTTTAATAGTTACGAACATGTTGATAAAACGCTCAGATATTTAATAGCAACGGCTGTCATTATTCTGCTGCAATGCAGTGCGCATTGCGCCGCGCATTCAATAGATAGCGCTACCTATCTTATTACATAATGCTATCACCATGGTGAATAATACACCCCAGCCGTTAACAAATTTATTTCCATCATTTCTCTTTCTTATCCCACTACAGCTTCTTGGCGAATAGAAAAAAAACCATCAGAGATTTGCCAAGGAGACAGATGAGTGAGTGAGTTAGTGAGAGAGAAGATGGAGCAAGCTGTATCTTTACTCTTTACATCATGTACAGAACTTTTAGTACTATAGTAATAGCGGTGTAAAACATGACTGCAAGCGGTTTGAGCTACCATCCAGGGTCAAAACTTTGGGATGCTTCTTTACGACAGGACGAACAAACAAAAAAGCACCAACGCTTCTGAAGAAAAGCGATGGCCAGAAAAGACACAGACAAACAATGGTCGGTTAGGAAGACAGAGGGATGGAAAAAAAACGAAAAAAAAAAGAAATGGAGAGGAAGGAATAGTCACATTGGCGAGCGGTCATGCACAGCCAGGAGCTTGTTCAGTGTAGAAGTGAGAAAGAAGTGAGAGAACCGAATGAAAAACGAGAGCGAGTGGTCTGCGAAAGATTATTCCCTACAATTAAGGAATAAAACAACACAATCCAGATGGGTCTAAGGAGAGAAACATCATCCAGTGAGAAATAAATATTCATCTTTTCCTTTTTTATGCGGAAAAATTGAGTAAGAGCGGGAGGAGAATAGAAGAGTCAGCTGCTTTGAGCATTGATGGAAATGAGGCAACACACATTCCAAGCCTAAGCTAAGCATACGTAAAGCCATATTGTCAAATGTTCCATAGCCATTAATGGAAATTGAAATTGAGTAATGTCTCGAAAATTCAAATTATATCGCAATGAGTAAGTTATGAATAGACTTGAAACTATAAAGACAATTTCTATGAATTAAAAAGATTTGCATATACTTTCTGCTTGCTTAGAGCAGGAGACGATGAGAACAGTAATACTCTTATCACATATTTCTTGATAAGCAATGGTTCAAAGAATATTTTGTAGCGTTAAAGGTAGTGACGAGCAGGATGGGAAAAGGGTAAAGATAGAGAAGAAACCTACGCTTGTGCTTAAACTCATTTAGGAGGAAGAAAAACTATCAAAAGAAGCTTAGGGTATTCGTTCGCGAGAAAATTGCTTTCGGATGAAATCTGCGAACGACAAAAAAACGATGTGCGTGAAAGTTGCGAGAAATTTCAAAACAGCAAATAGATAGTACATTGAGGGATACTGGAGAGAAACGAAAAAAATTACTCAGTCATAACAGGTGAAATGGCTCCATATCGTCATGCTTTCTCTATTTCTCCCGCTTTTACTACTTTCATCTATCAATTCTCTATACCTCCTCCTCCATCTAGATATGGAGGTATGTCGAAAAAAAAACCATTTCGTATATGGGCTTTCGAAATGGCGGGAAGAAAGAATGTTTGAAATTACTGGTGTTGGCGCCATGTCAATCGCAGATGCTAGTTCCAGTCTCGTAAAAGATGGACGAACTTGTGCGGAAAGGAACGAACGTATAGGGCTGGACTAATGTATTTGCTCCCTCAGCTAGTAGTAACGGGCAAAGCAGCAGCAGTCAGCCAGCAGCCAGCATCATCATCATCATCATCATCATTGAGCCTGATGAGAAGTGGATGAGAGACAGCCAAAAGATAGCCGCAGGATAGCTCATAGAGAAAGAGAGAGAGTGCTTTTTCTAGAACAGATAAAGAGTGTAGTGTGAGAATAGTAGAAGCACAACGACTGTTCTCAAGCGATATCATGTCCCTGATATGTAGTAGGAAGAAAACCTTCTAAGGAATGATTACAAGTCTTTTCCACGGGAAGCCAATTTCTGAAATGAAAAAATTGAGCTTCCATGAACTCGACGTACAAAATAGCAAAAAAAAGAAAAAAAAAGAAGAATATTTTCCAGGACAAAGCGACTGTAAGAGCTTGAACGTGCGAACAAACGAAAGAACCTGAGAGCAGAGCACGTGCGCCGGCAACCCCAGTCGGGGGAGTCGATGCCAGTGTATATTGAAGTGAGAGGTAAAGGGGCAGTCATGCAACTAAGCAGAGACGAAGAAATGAGAGAAAACTAACGGATACTGCTAGTCAATACGAAAATGGCAGAGATAGTGAGAGAGCCAGACGTGATACACAGAAAAAAAAGATAGAGAGTGCCTGCGGCGGCGGCGAGGGGTGCGTCCCCCCATCGCTAGCCAGCCCCACACATAGCCTGAGGGGCGGAGTTTTGAGGCGCAGCCTGGCGCATTGCGCGCGCAATGCGCCGTTGTACCGCGGCTGAATATCCCCCGGAGACTATCCTACGGTAGACACGATGGCATAGGAAGACAACGACGTGCTTTCAGAGACAGAAAAGATGAAGAGAGAAGGAGAGAGGGAGGGAGGGAATGAGAGGAAGGGAGAAAAGGAAGAAAGGCGAGACGAGAAAGGCAACACACAAGA